TTTTATTATGTTTTATTATTATTATCTTTATTATTATTTTGTTTCCACTCTACGTGACTTTACCGAAAGAACCAAGAAGAAGAAGAAACAAAACACCAGCTTTATAGCTAATCGGGTTCCTCCTGTATAATTAGATAGTCTGATTCAGTTCCTCGGCTGCCACATCGGCGTGGATTCATCCTCCCATCGCGGATGATCCAAAGCCCACGCACTGAAAACGACGTTGCGGCTGAGCGGACCCTTTGGCCTGACCTTGACCTGACCGTTGGCCTGACCTTTGGTCTGACCCTGACCTTTGGCCTGACCTTTGGCCTGCCCTTGACCTAACCCCCCCCCCCCGCGACCTGAACCCCCCTCCATGCGTCCGTGCCACGAGTCAACGGCGCCCTCTATCGGCGGGCTGCGGCAGGGTCGGGGCGACGCGTCCCGTTGCTGAGCGCGCGTCGACCCCCCCCCCCTCCTCCCCCTCCTCCCCCCTCCTCCTCCTCCGTGCGCGGCAGCAATGAGCCGCCCAGGGTAACCCGCTCCTTCGCCACCCCCGCCGCCGCCGCGACGTTTCGCATCGTTGCCTTGCTCCGCGAAAACGTCGATTTTAAGTCGTTGGTGACATCGGCGCTGCCTGACCAGACGACGGCGACGACACGGCACGAGCACGGGGGGTGGGGAGACGGGGAGGCTAGGGCTGACGCGGGCGGAGGCTTCCGCCGGCCGGAAGTCGATCGAGTCCCGCAGCGCGGCTAGGCAAGCGCGAGGCTCGCCGATTTGGTAGTAGGCCGCGATGGCCCGAGGCGCCGTTTCCAGGGCGGCCATTCGCAAGCTGCTGTTTGGCGGACACTTCTTGCAGGTGAATCAATCACGGGCCGCGCTCTTCGGCGTCGTCGTCTTCGGCGTCTTCGGCGGCGTCGTCGTCTCTCCCTTTCCCTGGTGGCTTTATCGGCGACCTTTGATTTTGTCGCTGCGGTTCACAGTGCCCAGAGAAAGGAACGAGATACGGTTGCGGTGATGGTTGCGGTTGTCATGGACGTTGCACTGTGGTTGTGACGAGGTGGTTGTATGGTCGGTGGTGGTGGTTGTTGTTGTGTTACAGCACAGAGGTTGTGACGAGGTGGTGGTGGTGGTTGTTGTGTTGTTACAGCACAGAGGTTGTGACGAGGTGGTTGGTGGTGGTTGTTGCTGTTCTGTTGTTACAGCACAGAGGTTGTGACGAGGTGGTGGTGGTTGTTGTTGTTACAGCAGAGGTTGTGATTGTTGGTGGTTGCGTTGTCGCACCGTGGTGAGAGGTGATTACGTTGCAATGCGGTTTATGACTGGGAGGTTGTGAGGTGGTGGTGGTGGTTGTGGTGATTGCGATGGCTCTTGTTGTTGTTGTTGTTGTGTTCCACATTGAGAGAGGAGGTGGTGGTGATTATTGCATTGCACGGTGATTGGGAGTGAGAGGCGTCAGGTGGTTGTGCTGTTTTGTTGCGCAGTGATTTCCCTGCACATAATTTGGGTTTAATGTCTACACAAATATTGACACACCAATATATATATTTATTTATATAATGATTTGCTTCCTCATTTGACGGCACGGACTGCGATGATTTACGGCGGTCGACTGCGCAGGCTGGGGAAAGAGACCGCGGCGATCTGGTGATTGATTACATGTTGGGTGAGCTAGAGGGTGGAGTGGTTGACTCCACAGGGTGAGTGGTTGACTCCACATGGTGAGTGGTTGACTCCACATGGTCAGTGGTTGACTCCAGGGTGAGTGGTTGACTCCACAGGGTGGAGTGGTTGACTCCACAGGGTGAGTGGTTGACTCCACAGGGTGAGTGGATGACTCCACATGGTGAGTGGTTGACTCCACAGGGTGAGTGGTTTACTCCACAGGGTGGAGTGGTTGACTCCACAGGGTGAGTGGTTGACTCCACAGGGTGAGTGGTTGACTCCACAGGGTGAGTGATTAACTCCACAGGGTGAGTGGTAGACTCCACATGGTGAGTGGTTGACTCCACAGGGTGAGTGGTTGACTCCACAGGGTGAGTGGTTGACTCCACAGGGTGAGTGGTTGACTCCACAGGGTGAGTGGTTGACTCTAGGGTGAGTGGTTGACTCCACAGGGTGAGTGGATGGCTCTAGGGTGAGTGGTAGACTCTAGGGTGAGTGGTTGACTCCACATGGTGAGTGGTTGACTCCACAGGGTGAGTGGTTGACTCCACATGGTGAGTGGTTGACTCCACAGGGTGAGTGGTTGACTCCACAGGGTGAGTGGTTGACTCCACAGGGTGAGTGGTTGACTCCACAGGGTGAGTGGTTGACTCTAGGGTGAGTGGTTGACTCCACAGGGTGAGTGGTAGACTCTAGGGTGAGTGGTTGACTCCACATGGTGAGTGGTTGACTCCACAGGGTGAGTGGTTGACTCCACAGGGTGAATGGATGACTCTAGGGTGAGTGGTAGACTCTAGGGTGAGTGGTTGACTCCACATGGTGAGTGGTTGACTCCACAGGGTGAGTGGTTGACTCCACAGGGTGAGTGGTTGACTCCACAGGGTGAGTGGTTGACTCTAGGGTGAGTGGTTGACTCTAGGGTGAGTGGTTGACTCCACAGGGTGAGTGGTTGACTCTAGGGTGAGTGGTTGACTCTAGGGTGAGTGGTTGACTCCACAGGGTGAGTGGATGACTCTAGGGTGAGTGGTAGACTCTAGGGTGAGTGGTTGACTCCACATGGTGAGTGGTTGACTCCACATGGTGAGTGGTTGACTCCACAGGGTGAGTGGTTGACTCTAGGGTGAGTGGTAGACTCTAGGGTGAGTGGTTGACTCCACAGGGTGAGTTGTTGACTCCACAGGGTGAGTGGTTGACTCCACAGGGTGAGTGGTTGACTCTAGGGTGAGTGGTTGACTCCACAGGGTGAGTGGTTGACTCTAGGGTGAGTGGTTGACTCTAGGGTGAGTGGTTGACTCCACAGGGTGAGTGGATGACTCTAGGGTGAATGGTAGACTCTAGGGTGAGTGGTTGACTCTAGGGTGAGTGGTTGACTCCACATGGTGAGTGGTTGACTCCACATGGTGAGTGGTTGACTCCACAGGGTGAGTGGTTGACTCTAGGGTGAGTGGTAGACTCTAGGGTGAGTGGTTGACTCCACAGGGTGAGTGGTTGACTCCACAGGGCGAGTGGTTGACTCCACAGGGCGAGTGGTTGACTCCACAGGGCGAGTGGTTGACTCCACAGGGCGAGTGGTTGACTCCACATGGTGAGTGGTTGACTCCACAGGGTGAGTGGTTGACTCCACAGGGTGAGTGGTTGACTCCACATGGTGAGTGGTTGACTCCACAGGGTGAGTGGTTGACTCCACAGGGTGAGTGGTTGACTCCACAGGGTGAGTGGTTGACTCCACAGGGTGAGTGGTCGACTCCACAGGGTGAGTGGTTGACTCTAGGGTGAGTGGTAGACTCTAGGGTGAGTGGTTGACTCTAGGGTGAGTGGTTGACTCCACATGGTGAGTGGTTGACTCCACATGGTGAGTGGTTGACTCCACAGGGTGAGTGGTTGACTCTAGGGTGAGTGGTAGACTCTAGGGTGAGTGGTTGACTCCACAGGGTGAGTGGTTGACTCCACAGGGTGAGTGGTTGACTCCACAGGGTGAGTGGTTGACTCCACAGGGCGAGTGGTTGACTCCACAGGGTGAGTGGTTGACTCCACAGGGTGAGTGGTTGACTCCACAGGGTGAGTGGTTGACTCCACAGGGTGAGTGGTTTACTCCACATGGTGAGTGGTTGACTCCACAGGGTGAGTGGTTGACTCCACAGGGTGAGTGGTTGACTCCACAGGGTGAGTGGTTGACTCCACAGGGTGAGTGGTTGACTCCACAGGGTGAGTGGTTGACTCCACAGGGTGAGTGGTTGACTCCACAGGGTGAGTGGTCGACTCCACAGGGTGAGTGGTTGACTCCACAGGGTGAGTGGTTGACTCCACAGGGTGAGTGGTTGACTCCAGGGTGCGTGGTTGACTCTGACTCTAGATGGTGAGTGGTTGACTCCACAGGGTGAGTGGTTGACTCCACATGGTGAGTGGATGACTCCACAGGGCGACTGGTAGACTCCACAGGGTGAGTGGTTGACTCCACATGGTGAGTGGATGACTCCACAGGGTGAGTGGTTGACTCCACAGGGTGAGTGGTTGACTCCACAGGGTGAGTGGTTCACTCCACAGGGTGAGTGTATGTCGGGCAATTATGGTTGTGGTTATTTTGATGATTGCGGTGGGCTTGGTAATTTTGGTTGTCATGGTTGTGATTACATTGTCGGATTTGGTTTTGGTTGTTAATGGTGGTTGTCGTGGTTGTGCGGTTGTCATGGCGGCTGTCGTCATTATGGTGGCCGATTGTTGTTGTCGTGGTTGTTGTGTGAGTGCTGGTTGTAGCTATCATGTGTGCTGCATGTTGAACTTCTTTCGCAACGTACGTAGCCAGCCGTGCTAATTGGAGGTGTGGGGGAAGGACAACAAACTGAACCTCTCATAATTAAGGTTTTTGGGTTAGATCGCATTATTTATAAATGTGTCGTAACCCTCCACCACTCGACACGGCCAATCAGCAAAAAAAAAGTGTCACGTTGACAAATAATTCACTACTTTAGCCCACCGGTGTGTTGAAGAGTGAATCCACAACGTTTACAGTTTGTGGATTCACTCTTCAACACACCGGTGGGCTAAAGTAGTGAATTATTTGTCTTTTGTCAACGTGATACTTTTTTTTTGCTGATTGGCCGTGTCGGGTGGTGGAGGGTTACGACACATTTATAAATAACGCGATCTAAACCAAAAACCTTAATTATGAATAATATTGCGCGCGAAAGCCTACGTGTTAAACTGACGAACCTCTGTCTCTGTGTGATACTTGATTCCCCGGGCTCCGAGTGAGGAACCTCTTCATGGTTGTAGCTGGGCGTGCTGGTGTCTGCTGTCTCAGCGACTCCGTTGCTGTCTGCAATTCCCCGTGTCACCTTGTGTCTCTGTAGACTCGATTCCCTGGGCTCCGAGTGAAGCACCTCTTCCTCGTGTGGCTGGGCGTGCTGGTGGGGAGCTGGGTGCTCTACATGCAATACTCCTCCTACACGGAGCTGTGCCGTGGGGCCGTCTGCAAGATCATGGTGGTGAGACAAGGGGGTGGAGCGGGGTGGACGAAGGTGGAGCCGAGTTGATGCAGGGTTACTGTTTTGACGTAACCGCTCATTAGCTATAGTCTTAGCTCTTTCGGTAAAGTCACGTTGAAGGGAAACAATAAAATGATAAAATATGTATAAAACAATAAAAATTCTCACGACGTTTCGACCATTACACAAACGGTCGTCATCAGGTGTGTCGGTTCACATTAATTAATTTATTTTTAAACGGTGTATTTATAAAAAAACGTCAGCGCCACGTGCAGCAATTTGGCAGTTTATTTAGAAGGACTAGTCCATATGTATGTATGCTGGATACACACATTTTCAAATATGATTTGTAACTTTGAGCCTTACCTGTGAATCGATAGTTCAATGTTCATGCCATTCTATTGAGCGCTACTGTGTCTGTTATCTTGGTGTGGTCTGGGACTGTTTAATTGTTGTTTTTGCTCGGTCGACCTATCCTTCAGTGAGTACCTGGTGCGGTGTGTAAACATCAGTGCTCGGGAGGCAAAGGTTGCTGGCCTTGGTGCTAGCCACACCACCCCCTTCGTGTGTCGTGCCAGTCTTCATCAGTTTTCGCGAACAGCACTTGCCCCAGCAGTCTATTCACGGCTACAAGGGGCATCTGTTTTTGTGTGTGCGCGTGGGGAGCGGTAGTTCAACGGTTAGCGCACTGTGCTACGAACCCAGCGACCCGAATTCGATTCCAGCTCACGGCCTACACCAGTGACGATTATTTGAATCGGTCCTGGGCCTCCCCTAGGTCGACTCAGCGGCATGTAAAAATATCGCCACTGGGGAGACAAAGGCGGCCGGGCGTGGTGCTGGCCACCCACCCCCGTGTACTGCACCGGTCTTCACAGGTGCAACTCGCTGACAGCACTTGCCCCAGCAGTCTGTTAAGGCTACACGGTGGGGGCGTCTTTGTGTGTGTGCAGTGTGATCAGTACAAGAAGGGAATAATAGCGGGATCGGCCTGCAGTGCCCTGTGTGAAGAGAAGACGCTGCAATTCCAGCGCTGTCTGTCGACTCACCCCACTCGCCAGGTGAGCCTCGCTCTCGCACCGCCCTCTGGCATCGCTGCTGCGTGGCAGCGGAGGAGGTGGTGCCGGCAGAGTGAGCGTGTCTTACCCCCTGGCGGCAGCAGCATGTTGGCGAGAGGGGCGCCACGGTGGCGAGATGTTAACTATCTCGCCTGGTGTACAGGAGGCCTTAATACGGTGCTCGCCAACAACACTTGCGGTGCGTGCAGGGTTGTGTGTGATGCGGGGGCGGTATGTGAAGCGGTGTTTTCGGTGCGGTGCATGTACGGTGCACGTGCGGTGTGGCACACGTGTGTGCGGTACACGTGTGGGGTGTGCTACGTGTGTGTGGTACGTGTGTGGGGTGTGGTACGCGTGTGCGGTACACGTGTGCAGTACACGTGTGGGGTGCGGTACACGTGTGGGATGTGGTACGCGTGTGTGGTACGTGTGTGCGGTACACGTGTGCGGTACGTGTGCGGTACACGTGTGGGGTGTGGTACACGTGTGGGGTGTGGTACATGTGTGTGGTACGCGTTTGCAGTACGCGTGTGCGGTACACGTGTGCGGTACACGTGTGGGGTGTGGTGTGTGGAGTGCGGTACGTGTGTGCGGTATGCGTGTGCGGTACGTGTGTGTGGTACACGTGTGGGGTGTGGTACGCGTGTGCGGTACGTATGCGGTACACGTGTGTGGTGTGGTACGTGTGTGCGGTACGTGTGTGCGGTACACGTGTGGGGTGTGGTACGTGTGTGTGGTACACGTGTGGGGTGTGGTACGTGTGTGCGGTACACGTGTGTGGTACACGTGTGCGGTACACGTGTGCGGTACACGTGTGGGGTGTGGTACGTGTGTGCGGTACACGTGTGCGGTACACGTGTGGGGTACACGTGTGGGGTGTGGTACGTGTGTGCGGTACACGTGTGCGGTACACGTGTGGGGTGTGGTACGTGTGTGCGGTACACGTGTGCGGTGCGGTACGCGTGTGGTGGCAGGTGTACACGGGCCGCTGGGGCAAGGCGGACGTGGTGATCAAGTGTGGACTGGAGGAGGCGTTCCGCCTGGACCTGGAGCCCGACTCGTCCCCGCGACGCGAGCTCGTCCTCTTTGACAAGCCCATCAAAGGCACCTCCATGGACGAGTTCAAGGAGATGCTGCTGCACTTCCTGCAGGTGAACCGTGCCAGGCGCAGTGCAGCAGGTGCTAGCCGCGTTGGCGCATGGCGACTCCCGACCCCCTTCCACCCCCACCCACTGGCGAAACGAAGCGTGCTTTAGGGCTAAGAGGAACAGGAGCCGAGCTCGTAGCAGCTGCAAGGGGGTCGCGTAAATCGTTCACGTATGGCATCGTACCACCGTCGTCCCCACCACCCTCGCCTCCATCCTCACCACCATCATCATCACAGCGATCATTGTGTTGAGTATCATTATGATTGTCATAACAGTAATTTTGATCGTCGTCATCATCATCGGTGTCAGCGTGATCGTCGGCAATGTCGTCACTATCATCAGCTCTCCCGTCGAATCCCCCTTATCTTCTCCACCCTCTCCCCCATTAAAGGCTAAGATCACCCCGTATAGCCATCATAGACTTGTTGGACAAGTACTGATAGCGTGCAGCACCTACGAAGGCTGAGACAATATACCAGCGGGGTAGGTGGCCAGCACCACGCACAACCACCTTTACCTCCCCAATGGCGATGTTTAAATACCGCACTAGCTACTCACTTGAGACTGTCGGCTCAGGCAGGCGCAGGACCCCGGTTCACGTAACCGTCACCGGCGTCGGCTCGTGTCGCCGCTTATCGTAGCGCTGACCGCTCCGCTGCGCCACCGCTCCCCACCGCCACCGCTCCCCCCTTCCCCGCAGACCAAGCTGGGCAACCAGCCGAGCCTGCCGGAGCTGGTGTCCCACCTCATCGCGCTGGCCGACGTCAACCGGGACGGCAAGGTGTCCCTGGCCGAGGCCAAGTCGGCGTGGGCGCTGCTCCAGCGCAACGACTTCCTGCTGATGGTGGTGCTGCGCGAGCGCGAGCACGCGCCGCGCCTGCTCGGCTTCTGCGGCGACACCTACGTGACGGAGCGCGTCGGCGTCACGCGCCTCTACGGCGTCGTGCCGCCGTGGCCGCTGGCGTCGGTCGTGCCGGCGTGGCTGAGCCGCGCGGCCGAGCGCGCCCTGCTGGCGCCGCCGTGGGCCCTGCGCGCCAAGGTGTCCATCGGCCTGCTCGAGTTCACCGAGGAGGTGTTCCACGGCGCGTACGGCTCGTTCCACGTGTGCGAGGCCGGGCCCGCCGCCTTCGGCCACAACGAGCGGCACGACGCGCGGCTCCTCGACCTCGGCGCCGTCGTGCCGGAGGTGGCGCTGCGCGCGGCGTTGGCGGCGCGCCGCTGCGACTCCAACGAGGACTGCGTCGTGGGCAGCGACTGCCGCGCCGCCTGCGACCGTCTGGCACGCCGCTGCTCGCCCGACGCCATCCAGCCCAACCTGCCCAAGGTGTGCGCCCTGCTCGCCGAGTACCTGCTGGCGGGGTGCCCGGCCGACATCGCCGCCGAGCTGCGGCGCCAGCTGGCCGTGTGCACCAGCCTGCGCGGCTCGGCCAACACCATGGAGGTGCACCACTCGCTGGTGCTCAACAACCTCAAGGCCCTGCTCTGGAAGCAGATCTCCAACGCCAAGGAGGCGTGACGGCGCCGGCGGCGGCGGCGGCGGCGAAGAAGCGCCGGCGGTGGCGAGGGCCAACGCCGCTGTCGGCACGGTGACGGTGTTGGCGACGTCGTCGGCACCACTGCCTACCACGCGAGATTCGCAGGAACTGAAAATGTAAACGCGACGAGTAAATTAAGCGGAGTAACGAGCAAGCCGCAAGAACATAACGACGGCCACGTCAACCGCGGTGGCGGAAGGAGCGGTGCCTGCAGGTTGGGGTGGCGCGCGAGAGACGAGACAAGCGCCGACCATCCGATCGTGAACAAAACGTGGAGCCTACAAAAATGTGAAGGCATATGGGCGTTTCAGGACAGAAGGGGAGTCTGTACGATGGGCTGGTCCCACTGATCGGCTGGTGCCAGTCCTAGCAGCTGACATCACTTGTCAGCTGGTGCCACATGATCAGCTGGTGCCACTGATCAGCTGGCGCCAGTTCAAGCAGCCAGTGCTACTGAACACCTGCCAGTCCGAGCAGTTGGCATCACATCTGTCAGCTGGTGCTATAGGATTCAGGGGGGTGGGGGGGGTGGAGGACGTCGATGTGTGAGCGCGTTGTTGTTGCTGTTGTCGAGGGGTGCGATGGCAAGTTCGGAGATATTTAGTTGAACCACTTAGCGATGGATTTGCACTTGAGAAATCAGCTCATCGCCTTCCCCCTCAACTGACGACGATAGGACCAAGCTCCCAAAGACGCGACGGTGGCTCTGAACCGACGAAGATTAGCAACCAGTGGTGGACTCTCCCCCGACGATGTCTATCGAAGTCGCCGTTCAGAACCAAACATCAGCGAGGATCCCTCCTCGCCTCATCCCATCCCGTAGCGTGTCCCACATAGGAGCGAGCTTGCAGCTACTCTCTGCAGCAACAGCAGCAGTACCAACAGCTTTGTAAGCAGCAGCAGAAGAGCAAATGAAGAGAGAAATTGAAAGGGCAGCAGGGAGTGCAGGTCAAGAGCCTCGGGCATTGGCACGTAATTGCTGACTGAACATCCCCCCCCCCCCTCCGATTGTCTGGTTAAATATTGCAGCAGGGCGGGATGTGACAATAGCCACAGCCTATAGCGAGGTATACTGGACGTGGTGTGCCGGGCATGGAAATGTTTTCTGGGTCACCTATCCAGCTGAAATGAATACCCTTACAACTCTGTGCTTCTAATTTGTGTGTGCGCTAAGGCTGTGTAGGGAGCATTGAGTGTAGCGGTTAGTGCGCTGCAATACGAACCCGGCGGCCCAAGTTCAATACCCGCTCAAGGCCAACATCGGTGATAACGATTATCTGGTCTTGGGCTTCCCCTCGGTCGACTCAGCCTCAAATGATTACCTGGTGCGGTGTGTAAAAATTGCCACCAGGGAGACAGGCGGTCGGGCGTGGTGCTGGCCACCCACCCCCCTGATACGCTGTTGCGGCCTTTATCGGTGCTGCTCGCGAATAGCACTTGCCCCAACAGTCTGTGAAGGCCATGCGGGGGATGTCTTTTTTTGGCACGAACAGGCCCCCTCGTGGAACGTGACCCCCCCCCCTAACCCCCGCCCAAGCGGTGACCCTTGCTCTGTACTCTGGCAACTGTCGCTCACGCCCAATTGGCTGGTGGAAGTTTCGTGGGGGCTGGTTTGCAAAGAACCGGCAGCAGTCTTGTATGTTGAACTTCATAGCCAACCGGTGCTCTTTGGAGGTGCAGCAGGGTGAGAGGTCAAACTCAATTTCAAAGGCAGTTCTCAAGATATGGGGATGTGGAGACCGTAGGGAAATCTCTGCCAAGTTTCCACGATCACGAGACTACTTTGCAAGGATGGGCCACGGCCGTACAGGTCACTTTCTCCTGAACTGCGATGCAGCTTCTTCGTCCCTCTGCACATGGATTGTGGCACAGATGGACTGCAACAATGAGCGACTGGTGGGCAACAACTGCTTTGGTGGATCTTGTTCTCCACAACCCTCCTGCCACCCCCCTCACATGGTCCGCATTTACAAAAGTTCCCATCTCCAATTTTAACTGGGGGGGCTCCATGGATGTGTAAAAGTTAAAATCCACTGCAAGGAACCACCACCGTCCCCACCCACCGTGAGATTATGTTGAGTTTTATATTTTGTGCTCGTTTGAAGTGCTTCAATGCCACTGTAGTTAAGGGGCACACGGGTGCCACCACCAGTCACGGCGGCATTTGGCAGGAGCGAGGCAGCTTGACCACTGCGATGCAGGTTGTGTAACGTGTACAGTTGCAAGCCCTGCTGCGTCCCATACTTGATCATAAATATTTATTGAGCTTTTTGTTTAAGCCCTCTACCTCCCACCACCACCGTGTAACCCCTCACACTCTGGGGTAGGCTGGTAAAGCCCCACACTGGGCACTGTCCACCCCCAGGGTAGCCCTCCCCCACAGCTGCAGTTTACACTTCACCTTTTGCACCATTTTGTCCACTAGCCAAGGGAGTCCACCCCCTGATGGACAGTGCAGGGAACAAGGCTAGGCTGATGTTGAATTCCTTTACCAGTGGGTGAGCAGGGTGGGGGTGGGCTGCTCCATGTGTGCAATAGGCATCAAAATAAAACAAGCCACTTAAAACCCAGCTCAGGCTGTTCCTCGTTTTGTGTCTTTTATTGAAATATCCAAGGTTAGATCATTTACTACGGCTTTCCAAACCAGCACCAAAAGCTCCCGCCCAGCCCTGCAGCATGGCATGCTGCCCTTGGTTGGCAGCTGTGGCGCTGGCAGCATCACAGCCCCAAGCACATCACTCCGCCGGCTCGCTGGCCTGCGCCCGCAGGAAGCTCGCCTTCTTCTGAGCAACTCTGTTCTTGCGCTGGGCCAGAGACAATTTGGCGCGGTTCCACCTGCAAGACAAGAGCACACCAACTTTAGCACGAGGCAGTATCAATGGACAATGACTGTCACCCCTGGGGGGGGGCAGGGTATGGCCACCATTCGTTCCCATAATGCAGTGCTTCTCAATGCCCCTTTGGCCCCATGGACCACTCAGACAATGCAAACATTTCCATGGACCACCCAGCTCCCCCTCATCCCTGGTGACAAAACCCATTCACTCATCTCGAATACAAAGTGATGGCTATTACTGGATAACTTTTTTTAAATGCAGCTAGGGTTAGGGTAATTAGGGTAGTTTACCTAACATAATTTTAAGTAAAATATTCATTTACAAAACAGGTATGATAAAGTCATCATTCCCCGGATCAACCTGCATTTGCACAGCCATTGCAGACCACCAGTGAGCCTGGCACAACCAACTCTGAGAACCACTGCCCTAAGAGCTGCTGTGTGCAACCCCCAAAAGTAATTTGCAGTGTCAAGTTCTTCGAGTTTTACATATTTGCTCAACGGCCAACTACTCGTAAATGGGATATTTAACATCCACAGTGAAGCTGACAGCGCGTAGTATTTAACTGTTAATACACACCACAGTATTGACCAGGGCAACCCACCAGATTCTAACCGCAAAGCTCTGCAGAAATTGTGGTCGGGTGTGACTATCTGCTGTGGTAGTGTGTGTATTGTGTAGTTGTGCATGTAGCTGGGCGGTTGTATGTAGAACTTTTTTCACACCCTACGCAGCCAACTATGCTCATAAGGTGTGGGAGCACACAGGACAAGACACGCCTGTCAACCCCTCCACCCAGAAAGACGGTACACCCCCCCCCCCCCCACCAGGGCACTAGCGGCGCCGTGATCAGACCCGTCTTGAAAAAGGTGGTTTGGCATCAGCGCATGGGACCAAGGACCAACTTGAGTCTCCTCAGAGCTAGGATGTCATCACCTCACAGCACCGGCTAGGCTGGGTTTTGCAGGAGCAAGCAGGGGAGAGCTGGAAAGCGCTAAGATCGAGGGTGACGTGATGGTGTGTGCCGCCTACTCGCACGAGCTCTCCAAGTACGCCATCATTGTGGGGCTCACCAACTACACCGCCGCCTACTGCACCAGCCTGCTGCTGGCGCACCACGTGAGAGCCGCACCGATCCTCACCATCGCCTACCCTCTCATCTTGCCATCAGACTACCCCCTTCCACCACGCTACACTCCACACGTACAATTGTGTTGTCGAGCAGCTGTACGATGGTGTGGTTATGATTGTGCAGCCGTGCGGTTGTGTAGTTGCGATTGTGAATCCGTGTGGTTGTGTAGTTGTGGTTGTGTATCTGTGTGCTTGTGTAGTTGTGGTTGTGTGATGGCGTCCACTCAGACCTCTTGGGCTTCTTCGTCACTTCCTTCTTGGGCTTCTTCTCGTGCACCGGGTTCTCTCGGATCGTCTCGTGAGCCTTCTTGAATAGTCCCTCCATCTACACAGCGGCATTACAACCTCACCATCACCACCACCACCAGTCTAACCCCAACATTCCATCTACACAGCGGGGTTAGCCACCTCACCACCACCCGGAATCGAACCCTAACATCCTATCTTCACAGCCGCAGAGCAGGGTTAGAACCTCACCACCACCTCACACTAACCCTCCATTACACAGCAGCATTATTTAAAACTAAACTCAATTATAAACAAATTTTATTTTTTTATTTAAAGCTTTCGTGACTGCAGCAATTCATATTCTTAGCTCTTTCGGTAAAGTCACGTTGAAGGGAAACAATAAAATAAATATAAAAACCAGGTTAGGCCCACTGAGCTATACGGCTCTTTCAGAAACAACCCGGCCACAAATGATCGTTTAATTAAGTGGCTTATCAAATGGAATTGTATAGCAGCAGCAGTTAATTTATTCTAAACACATGTATTCTAAACGTGGATGAACACTGGAAGACCCGGGGAGAGAGACACACGCAATCTCAAAATATGCAGCAGGGGTCAGGGTTGGGAATTTAACCCACTACCTCCTCCATACCTGGCAAGGTAGTTAACCATCTTGCCACCATGGCGTCGAACCATAACCACGGGCAATGCTTCCCGGGTGGATCCACTGGCTCTGGCGGTGTACGTACATTGAACTTATTTCGCACCATACGTAGCCAACCGCGCTAATCGGATGTGGGGGGGGGGGTGGACGACCAACTGGCGGTAGCGCACCATGTCGGGGGTGACTCCGTTCTTGATGTAGCGAGAGAACTGCCGCTTGTACGCGTCCTCGTCGTTCTCCATGAGCGAACGCATGTAGTCCGCCACGTTCACGCCCAGGATGTGCTTGCGGTGGACGTCCGCGTTGAACTCTTTGCTCTCCGAGTCGTAGCCCGGGAATCGCTTGGTGCTGCATAAACACAAAGGCACACCGCCACGTACAGCCTCTACCACTGACTGTTGTGTATGTACGTATTAACTATTTTTTTATATTGCCAGGTAAGGCCCACTGAGCTGTATCGCTTTTTCCATAAGTGACCCGGTCACAAATTATATTTTAACAAAGCCGATTGTCATTTAACAGCAGCCAAACGCTCTAAAATGCATATTGCTAAATGCGGAGGGAAAAGCCGGAGGACCCGGAGAAAAATCCACGCAACCACGTGGAGAGGGAGAGAAATGAAAACTCCCAAATATACAGCAGGCGCCAGGGTTGGGATCCAACGCACGACCTTCTGTGTCCAGGCACGGTAGTTAACATCTGCTACCGAGTACAATCAAGCAGGCAGCAACCTGTTAAGGCCACAACCTCGCGGTACCACGCGCGCATGCCCCCGGTGATGAAGTTTACTAAAACGCACGGCATCCTTTGACCCGTTCAAGGCAGAGTCGCCCTCGGGGAAGGGGGAGCCCAGGACCAGACATCTACGCGCAAGGTGCGGTACACTCGCTGCGTCATTCTGGGCCAAAGGCGGCAAAACAAAACCTTGTGCAAACTCAACGAAATGACACTAATGAGCCAGCAATTGACGAGCCACAGTCACACTAAGTCACCTGCCGCGAGATGACATCGCCTTGGCTGGCAAAATGAATCCTCTTGGTGTTGGGTTTTTTTTTTTAATTGTCCAATCCTGCGATAAGTTTTCATCAACGTGGGCCAGTTAACCTCCAGGGTGAAATTCCCCAACGGCAACAAAGGCGGTCGGAGCTTGAGCGCAAAACCCGTCGCAGCCAGTGTCACGCGTTCACGATAAGATTTTTGGTTCGGGCCACTGAACGATGTGACCAAATAATGTGCGGCGGCGTTGTGAAGAGAACCCTCCACCAACCGACCAACTGACACGGCCGAACACAAATAGAATGGTCACGTGGGGTACAAGCGTTATACGCTCACTTGGCACCGGAGAAGGTGGAGCCAATTCAATCCTCAAATGCAACGAGCAGATACAAAACAAATCCATCTGTTGTGCCGCGTTGCAACGTGCGACCTCCCCGTGCGCCCGTTCCTTGAATCACTGGCAGCAGCTGGAGAGGCTGGAGCCGCATGTGGAGGGAAGAGAGGTATAGAATGTGTGCAGGCGTGCCCACCTGTGTGGGATGGAGAGGCCCCCATCGACGGCGCCCTTGAGTGCGCCGAACACCTTGTTGCCGGTGGTGGTGCGCGTGAGCCCCGCGTCCAGGTAGCAGGTAAAGGCGCCGGGCTGGCCGTCAACGCTCTCCACGTTGAACTCATCACCCGTCACGTCGGCCTGCCCCTCGTACACCTTGTCCAGGCCCAGCTTGGCAAGCAGCTGGTGGACGGGCGACGGAGCGGTGGCCGGATCGGACGGACACGCGTGCGCGGACAGATGGGACGAACGCGAATTCAATGGATAGGACAGACGCATAGACGTGCGCGAGCTCGCATGACAGACACGCATTGCACACAGGCGTAACACAGACAGCAGACAGCGTGGACGGCGAACACTGGACAGCAGACATGCATTGTATGTTGAACGCCTTTTGCACCGTACGTAGCCAACCGGGCTAATCGGATGTGCGAATAGACAGACGTGAAACTGAACACAGGCAGACACACAGCAGACACGCCGATTGGACACAGACATATGTAGTTCATAGAGCGCACACATACTACAGGTACACGTGCACTGAACACAAAACAGACTCGTGTACATTTAAGACAGGAACACGCGCACACAGGTAGTAGACGCAAACACAACCCCGCACCCACGATTAGCACGGTCGGCTACGTACGGTGAGAAACAAATTAAACAAACGCACACATGCACTGAAGAGACAGAACAGACGTGCATTGAACATAGCAAATACATAGCAGTATGCATGTTGAACGTCTTTCACACCGTACGTAGCCAACCGTGCTAATCGAAGGTGAGGGAGCATACAAGACTAGACACGCGTGCATGGAAAAGAGAAACCACGCACGTGTTGAACGCACGCAGCAGACACATGAACACTGGGGACCATAGCCCACAAACTCTAGCCTCCCCACACACACACACACACAGCTACGGCACAATTTGCGCAAATAAAAATTTCTCTCCAGGGAAGTTATAATTTAACATCGACTTATGTTCGTGCAATATTTAAAATGTTTCACATTGACAGATGTTTTTACTCAGGATTTATATTAACTCCATCCCCGTAACATTTGATTTTTTTCTGCTTTTGTCGATTTAGCAAACCGGGTCAATGGTGCGAACGACACTCCTATCCTGGTCTCTTAAAAAAAGAGTTAACCGACTACACAAACT